TGTCAACATAATTATGGAGTGTGATTTATTTTCAACTCAAATTATCTTCATACTAACGAAATGTAAAGTTATTAGGGAGGAAAAATCCATCTGGATAACAGCAGACTGACTGCTCGTAAAATATACGACAGGTCTGGACCACTCCTGAATTTTGTTCGTATCTGAAAAAAATCTTCGAATACGAAAACGTTGGTGAATGCCACAAATTCTAAATCACTCGTACGCACAACTTAAGAACAAATCTGTGCGTACGAATGGTTCTTGCATGAGGCCCAATGTCTTCAGGTTCATGACAGTAAGGGGAAAATGAGATTGGAATCCGAATGAGCGGAACACGTTGCTGTGAACCAAACAAAGGTTTGATTGGCGGGGAAAGGAAGTCCTTCTTGTGCTCAGTGAAATGAGGACAAATGAGTCGGAGGAGTACTTCCAGTCGCACGCAAACAAAAACACCAGCTGCAGCCTTTTTGTGCAATCGACTAGGATTATTGAATTATGTGTTCTGTGTACACAGGATTGTTTTGCAATAACTGTTTTACCAATTGTGCAAATTGACTTTTTTCGTTGTATTTATTAAAGCAATGCCACCTAAAAAAACCCCACACAAACAGACAAGCTTGTATAAAAAAATAATGCTTGTTTTCAATGACCTTTGTAGCTCAGAGAGCTTTTTTATTTTGCTGTTTAATCTATTTTAATATAAACACCTCAACTTAAAAAAACGTCATCAGAAAGAAAAATATAACGCTCGCGTCATGTCTTTCTATGACCCCGATTTTTCTAGTCACTTCCTGTTTCCGACAGAATCTAAAAGCGAGGACCAGACGGTGCTGAGAAGAAAACAGCCCACAGTTTGAGTCTATAAATAAAGCTGCCGATTTCTGTTTTCACACAGTCGACAACAGCCTCCAGATACGTCTGTCAGATGAACCGATCTCGTTTTTTTCACACTTTATTATTAACTCAATTACACCAGCTTTTTTTTTTAGCTGTTACCCAACCACTGTTATAAGCTTTGTGGATGGTACAAGATCATTTCAGTGCTTGTTTAGGAGACATTTACTTTGGTTTTGCTTGTTGATMAGTGATGGTTATTTTGTGAATTCTTAGAAAGCATTTGCACTATTGAGATCCGATTTTTTCTTCTGTGTATTTTTTGCTATTTCAACAACTCATACTGCATTATGTGGAAAATTCAATTTCTCTAGTTTAAGTTGAAGTACCTCTGAGTTGGTTCTTGTTTTACGACCTATAACTCTATCCACCGACTAATTCCTGGGACTTTGCGGTGAGCCGTCTGGGCTGGACCGGGGTCAAAGACCGTAGGAAACCAAAGTAAAAGTCCTGATGTTGCTCTTACAGGGTGATCAACGCTGGTAAGAGTTCGCTGAACGAGGACCAGGCCTGCTGTGAAGTGGTCGTGGCCAGAAGGAGACCAATGAGCTACTGCCCCCCCTCCACGCCCAGCAAGACCCCCACAGCCAAGAGACGCAACTCCCTACCCAACGGAGAAGGCCTGGGGCTTCGGCTGGAGTACAACAGAATGGGAGAGGTAAAATCTTRGTACCTGGTACCACGTACTCCTGCAGAACCTAAAGAACTGTTAACATCCCATTTCGAGTTGATGGTGTAGAGATAAACAGAGTCAGTGAGGTGAAGTTTTTGGGTGTTATTATTGATGAGAAACTGACATGGAAACCTCATATAAGTTATTTAAGAATAAAACTAGCTAAATCTATTGCATTGCTTTGCAAAGTAAGGGACTTGTTTAATGATAAAATATGTTATTTAACGCATTAATTGTTCCACACTTGGTCTATTGTGTTGAACTATAGGTAAGGCTATTATAAATCCTGTTATTGTTTAGCAAAAAAGAGCTGTAAGAATTATCACTCGAAAAAAACTACCAATACCCATCTAATATATTATTTTGTAAACTGAAATCATTCTGTATAAAGTACACCAAAACACATTACCTTTAAACATCCAGAAAAACTTTGTAAAAAGAGTGAGCTGTAATAATCTTAAGGRGACAGAGATGTTCATGAAACTTAAATTTAGAACTAGTTTGAATGAACGGTGCACCTCAATCCAAGGAGTCAGATTGTGGAATAATCTGGAAGATGTTATTAAAAGTGCCAAATCACTGTACATGTTTAAAAGAATGATAAAGGCTAGATTGTTAAAAAATATGAAACAATATAATCTGTATTCATATAATTTGTTGTTCTAGAAAGATTTGATGTTTTGTTTTGTTAAAGGT